ACCAAATGTGTCACTATTGTAAACTCTTCTGGAAAGCACTGTTGTCTTCTTCAGTGACTGTGATGCTGACCTTCACCCCACCTGAAACCGGTTAATCATCAACTCTTTCGCCACTGATTTCCTTTGACAGGAAGCCCCTAGTTTCTACTAATCCCCTCTTAAACTGTATCTTTGTTATTTATTTATATTTTTACCTGAAACCAATTTAATCCAGTATATATAGAAAGAAAACAGTGTTTTAATAAGATTGAAACACCTCTGTGTATAATTATTCTCACATAGTGAGCACACCCCCCAGCCAAGATGGAGTTTCAGTGCCGTTGAGATGGAGCTAGGAATGCAACTACACTTGATAGCCCAGATAACAGGAGGGCCAGGAAAGTTTGCCTAAAAGATTCCATTGTGTTTGGGCCAGCAGGGCCTGAAGAGAGTGCCAAGCATTATATAGTCTCTGTTTTGTGTCAACAGCAGGAACTACAGATGACATCCAAGACCAAGCCTAGAATATTATTTCCTCCATTTATTCCTTTTATTAAGATTAATGACGGACATCATAAAAATGTAATCAATATCCTAATTAAACTTGTCTTTAATTTGGAATGTTAATTAATCTGCCTCAGATAAATAACTAACCCCTGGTAATATTAGCTTTGAAGAAGGCTTGTAACCAGATTTAAATGAAATGTAATTAGTCAGCTGTTAATTAGTTGAGGTAAAGTTGCAGATTGTAAAGTAACTTTAAATACAAGGTGAATAGTTTCAACACAAATCAGCTGACATCTTAGACAGCTGCACACATTCAGGGAGTGCCGGTAGGAGTGGAGGATGTTATTGTTCTGCAGTAATATTTAGTTTGGTCAACATGTAGTTTCTGAGCAGAACGCTTTTTGTTTTTTTTAAGACACTCCCTGATCAGAATAGTCATTCCTAATGTTTTCAGTTGATCCTTAGTGTGGCCTTTTTTTAACCAAAATGAGGACTTTGTTCTCATAAACAATAGACATTTTTTATAGATTAGGGGGAATAAAACCCTGAGCTTCCCTCATCAGATGTCTCAGTCATTTGAAATATTTTATCTCATCTTTTGCACTCTTTTTCTCAGATAGAAGCTGTTTAATATCAAGAAAATGTTTCTAAAAGATGAGAGAAAAAAAAAAACATATTAGATACAAAAAAAAGCAAGTAACTTTCTGTACATAAGGCATTGTCTGCTGTTATGGGCGTGTCCCAGAAACACGGAGTAGTTTCCTTTCAGTTGTTTTTGAACAAAAGCTCAGAGGTGGCCCTTCCTTTTAAGTTATTACTCTGGCTGTTTAATATCTAACCAAATAACATATTAAACTCTGCTATCACCTATTTTAGCTGCAGAGAGTCAAACAAAAAAAATGTGCTGTTAAATTCTACATTGAATGTTGATCTATGTGGTTTTGGATGTAAGAAACAACTGCTTTGGTCTTAATCCTTTTGTTTTAAAGCAAGTCTCACTCTTATCAGGTCACTATTCTTTAGACTAATCTCTGCAGCTGAACCCTTGTTAGTTTATATTTCACATATGTACCGGAAACCAAGAGTTTCTCCTTTGCCTTAAGTGTTTCTTGGCTCATCCTCAGTTTTTTTTTTTTTTTTTTGTGTGTGTGCCTTTGATCAAATACCAGTTGTCCTCCCCTGCACTCACTCTGCTGGACAAGACACACTGCACACCCAAAGCTGGGGCGGACCCCTCACACTGAACTTGGACTGAACTCAGGTTAGCTGGAAAATGTCTGTTTCCTTCAACAAAAAAAAGGAAAGAATGAACAATTCCTAGGCTGCTCAGTGGCGCAGTGGTTAGCACTCTCGCCCGTAGAAAGCTGGAGACGCCAACAGGGATAAGCGTGGGGGAAAATGGATGGAGGGATGAACAATTCCTAAAATAAACCTGTAAATTTTTTTTACTCTTTGACCTTAAAAAAGACTAAATATTGTCTTTCAGTTAGGACTTCAAATATTTATTTCATTACGTTCTTTAAATTCAAAAGTTTACATAAACTATGCATTTAAGCTATTTGGCTCCACCTAGATAATTAGGCCACGCCTTTAAGAGCTTCTGATTGGTTAATTTAAAATATCTACTGTAAGCTAATTGTAATTTATTTTAATACTCTGAAAGCTAAAGGTGCAATGGTTACAAACAATTATACACATTTATACTCAGCATGAGAAAGTCCCTGATATAAACATCACAAAAATGCTGGTCAATCCTAGAACAAGACTAGTTAAGATTTTCTTTGAATCTTGATTAATTTTCCCTGTAAAACAAGCCCTTTACCAACATGGGCTGAAATGCCACTCTCTAAAGAAGAAGCCATTGCTACAAAAGCAATAAAAGAAATAAAACCTCAGTTTTTTAAATTACCTCTTTAGGAGGTGAAGGGTTAGTAGCATCATAATGCGTAGCTGTTCAACTGCAGGAGGGACTGGTGCACTTAACCAGATCTATAGCATAATGTGGATGGAAGATCATTCTAATTAGTAAGGGAATCAAAACTAGGATGTAGATTTCCAACCTCAAGCATGCAGCCATATTTGTTTTAAAGCTACAGTGTGTAATAAATACAGGGATATACAGTCAGAAATGTAATATATTATACATAACTATGTTATTTATCATCATCTATGAGCTCAGCCTCTTAACCTTAATATTTGCGCTGCCTTAGAATTCGTTATTTATAATTACATAGGAGCAGGTCTCGCAGCCATGGAGGCAGACATCTTTGCGCTACGGCAGCGCAGAGCCAACAAACTAGCGATTGCGAGATCGCCCATTACGCTCGAAAAGTAACTACGGCAAGTTGAGAGAGATGAACTGAGACGGTACTGAACAATAGATGGCAGTATTAAAATGATCTATGTAAACAAACCTCATCACTTGAGAATGTAGGTGATGCGGACGTCGTGGAAGACATTTTGTCCCGTAAAGCTCGCCGTACTGTTGGGGGGGAGAAGCGGTGGGGGGGAGACGTTCATGTTGCTGCGGTCTGCAGTCTGGACGTTAGATGTCGCTAAAAATTACACACTGTAGCTTTAAAGTGGCTTAAGGACTACAAGGTGAGTTTTTAGGTTTTTATCACAAAGCCCTGATCTGAGTGGTAAGAACATTTGTGGGCAGATCTGTTTTGGTGTGTGTGAGCATGTAAGCCTACAAACCTGACTCAGTCACACCAGTTCTGTCAGTAGGAATGGGCCAAAATTTCTGCAAACTATAGCAAGATACCTGTGGAATGAGACCCAAAATATTTTTCCCAATTTATGCAGCGGTAGTTTCTACCAAATACTAAGAAAGATTATGAAAACCTAGCCAAAATCATCACTGATCTATTATTATTATGGTTTTTTATTAGCAGAAATATTTGTTGTAGAATTCCAGCTGACCTAAAAAAATGAAATCAATGCTAGTTAGTGTCTGAATGTTCTTTGCATGCTCTGCCTGTTCTCTGCTACTGATTTTTTTTTTTTTTCCGTGGACCTGCAGTTGTTCCCTCCTCACACGGGCTGTAAATCCGTGAGCATGGAGCATTTGCCTTTCTCTTGAGGAAGGAAGGAAAACAGGCTTATCAGAAACCCTGGCCTAATATGGAAAGGTGAAACTAACAAGTGGATGACATAAAGCAAGATACGAACGGTGAGGTAATTACTACTTAGATAACTTCAGATTTTAGATGGCTCCAAATCAGTTTGAAAATGTAACATGTATTTTTTCTTAATATCTAATTCAATATATGTCAGTATGCAGACATACTTTTATATTTCTGCATATTGAATTTGTTGTCAAGATGAGAGTAAACACTTGAAATGGGACGTCAGCATTGAGGTGGTGGTGATAGATTAGAGTTATTGGAATGCTAATAAAATGGTGCTAATGTCATGTAAATCCCTTTATTGTTCCACAATGGGGAAATGTGTTCTCTGCATTTAATCCATCCCCTTGGGGAGCAGTTGGCTGCCACTGTGCGGCACCCGGGGAACAGTGTATGGTTAAGGTCTTGCTCAGGGACCCAGAGTGGAGGCTGTTGGGATTGATCTGGGTACCTGCAACCTTCTCAGAGCACAAGCGCACTGCTCTAACCCACTAGGCCAACACTCCCCACTAAACTACTGAAGCTTTTTGTTCAGTCAGGGTCTTGCCCTGGATTTTTACCACCATCTGGTGTTAAACAATAAAACGTGAAGTCACGGTGACAGGAAAAGTTTTTTTTTTTTTTCCCCCTGGTAGAAATGTGACATAGTGTGAATGAAACATGCAGGGTAATACAGAAACAATCCATTGCAACACAGTTTGACGTGACAGGAATGTTGTTGGTATTTGTTCATGCATACCTGTGTGTTTCCATCAGCCATGTCAAGCGTGCCTGTTTCCCTTTCTGCCGCCCAGCCGGTCCCATGCACATATCTACAGTTCTACACGGCCGGTCGGAGTGAACAAACAGGTCCGACCGGCAAACTGTCAATATTGCAAACCTGAATTCCACATTTTTTTTGTTTGTTTTTTTATAAACTGGAAATTAACAGCATGAAAGTTTCGTCCTGGTTGTTTGAAATAACTTCATGTGACTTTGGAGCGTCTGTTTGTCTATTGGGTGGTCCCCCCCCCCCTTAAATTCCTACAGTACCTCAAGCTGCTTTAATGTTTGGTGAACTATAACCGGTTGAAGACAATGGCGATTCTGTGCGACAACAATAGGTGGAAATGCAGCTGCCGGGATGTAAGTGCTCAACCCGGCCTCAGATGAGCCTCTGGAGGAGTTCAGGAAGCCAGCGAGCGAAAGGAAATGCTTTCCTTCAACACTGAATGTGATTTTAGCTTTTCACATTTCATTCATTCTGCTTCGCTCAGTCTCTTCTCTCTGATCTTCTTCCCTCTTTTCACTGCTTCTTGCCTAACTTGCTTATCTGAGCTGGGCAGGGCTCTATGCACTTACGGCACAGGGGGAGGGGCCTCGCCTGCTTTCAATCAATAACCTCTGGAATTTAGAAATACAAGTAGATCCTGTCCCTGGCAGGCTGTACCACACCGCTGAGGGCGGGCTCTCTCACACACTCAGCGAACTCTCTATCCACTTCTGGCATTCTCTCTGTCTGTTTCTGCAGATCTGACCGGCTCCAGAGCCCATCACAATGGCTGATCACTCTTCTGATTATTTTAGCTGCTCCCTGTGTCAGAATCTCCTCAGGGACCCAGTGGCTATACCCTGTGGCCACAGTTTCTGCATGGACTGCATAAGTGGCTACTGGAACGAAGCGGACTACACTGGGATTTACATTTGTCCCCAGTGCAAGATCACATTCACCCAGAGGCCGGTGCTGCGACCCAACGCCACCCTGAGCATGGTGGCTGAGAAGATCAAGAAGAGTGGCCCCAACCTCAACCTGAGCACATCCCAGGGAAACATCTACGCCTCGGCCAACGACGTGCCCTGCGACTTCTGCATTGGGAAGAAGCTGAAGGCGGTGAAGTCCTGCCTAAACTGTCTGGCGTCTTACTGCGAGAAGCACCTGAGGCCGCACTACGAGTCAGCCACGTTCAAAAGGCACAAGCTGGTGGATGAGCTGGGGAACCTGGACAGGAAGATCTGTCCTCAGCACCAGAAGTCCCTGGAGCTCTTCTGCCGGACGGACCAGATGTGCATCTGTGCCATCTGCACTGTCAGCGAGCACAGGGGCCACGACATTGTGTCTGCCGAGGCGGAGAGGAGCGAGAAACAGGTAGGGCTTTGTGGTTTCATAGAGAGATTTGGGCGGGATTGTTCAGCTGTCTGCTTCCCAGAGTATGTAGGCACACTTTCAGTTAGCTCCACTGAAACCTAGTGGGGTGGGGAGTTGTTGTTTTTTTTAAAGTTTTTTTCTCCCACCTCCCGTTGCTGCTTGGACTTTGACCCAATTCACCAACGCTATCAGCTTCCCCAGCAGGCATTCAGGGCCGCCAAAACAAACCCAGCTCTGTGATTAGCTGCCTGGAAGCTGTGTGTGTGTGTGGTGTGTAGGGGGGGGGGGGGGGGGGGGGGGGGGGGGGTATAGATATCAGCCCCCCCCCCAACACACTCACTCTTTCCTGAAACCTTCTTTCCAGAGAATATGGTGACCCAGCTCTGGGATGAACACTACAGCCTTTCTAGCTGAGTGGGTTCCCACCTGTGGGAGTGGGGCCTGAGATGGGACTGGAATGTCAGGGAGTAAAGGCAGACAACACCTCACTCCAATCTCACTCTGGCAACGACAGGCGAAATGACTCACAGATGACAGCGCCTGTAAAACAATGTGGAGCAGATAAGGGTGTCAGCAGATACGGCGGTGGGAAGCGGTTGATGAGCAGAGGGAGGGTTTTTATGGCTGAAACGCTTTTAGCTCCACGGTGAAGCAATGCAACGCAGAACAGTGGCAGCAAGGATTTACAACCTGATCCTCACATCCTTTACTCCATCTCTCCCCTCCCCCCCACCTCACCCTTTCCTAGATTCCCCACATTCCTCCAGCTTATCTTGAAGAATGGGTTGTCGGGTCAGAGTGGAAGCTGAATTAGAAGCCTCCTATTCTATCGCTGCACCTTGAAACGTCGCCTCAAACAGCCAGACAGCAGCCGTAGTTTCACATTCCTTACATGACCAGAATTCCTCCGCAGATCTTTTTTCTTTCCTCCCTCTGAGATAAAAGCGAGCCGCCTTAAGAAGCTCCTCTGAGCGAGGTTTTGTTCCGCGTGCCAGAAGGGCCTCCCCAGATACTCTCTTTATATCCCACTCTATAAAAACTCCTCATATTTGGCTGCATTTGAGTTAAAACAGCTTATTTGGGGCCTTTTATGGCAACGCTGCATGATGTAATACGGGAGGATAGTACTGTTTGGTTATCAGTGTAGGAGTTTTAGCCTAAAAAGAAAGTTTGTAGAAAATGGATCATTTTTAATCCTCCTTTATTTTCCAGAAACTGTTGGGAGTTTCCCAAGCTGAGATTAGACAAAAATGCCAGGAAAGGGTGAAGGACCTGGAGGAACTCAAGACTGCTGTAGATTCACTTAAGGTAGGGTGTAAGTTTTTAATGTGACAGTTTTTTTACCAAACTGGCTGCGAATGAACTCACAAAATGGATTTTTTTGTGTGCAGAACTCGGCCCAGAGAGCCATGGTGGAGAGCCAGAAGATGTTCGAAGACATGATTCGCTCCATCGAGAGGATGAGGTCAGAGGTGACAAAGCTGATCGGCATCAACGAGAAGGCCGCTTTCAACCAGGCCGAGGCGTTGATCGAGCGACTGGAGCAGGAGATTGACGAGCTGAAGAAGAAGGAGTCCGGCCTCAAGCAGCTGCACAGCACCGATGACCACATCCACTTCCTGCAGGTACAGCGCCTCACAGAAACAAGCATCGCCTGTTCAATGGATTTACTTTAGATCTTCTCTTTGATAACTTCGCTTGTCTCCTCCCTTCAGAACTTTAACTACCTGTGCACCCCGACTGATGACGGCTTCATCCCCAAAGTGACGGTTAATCCCGACTTCACCTTCGCCTCGGTCAGGAAAGCCGTGGCTGAGATCAAAGAGCGCCTGGAGGAGTACGGCAGAGAGGAGCTGCTCAAAATTTCCAAATCAGGTTGGACCTTAGCGGCAGAAAATGTTACTTCTCAACTTCAAAAAAGCTGTTTTCTTCTAATCAAACATACATTTGCTCTGCTTTGCAGTGAATGAAGTCCCGATCTATACTACTGCGAGCCGGACGTTGGACCGCAGGAGCAAAGGTGAACGTTTAATTATTGTTTTGTTTAACCTTATCTCAGCTGTAAGCTATAGTAGGCGAGCTGCTCTACCGACCCTCACTTATGCATACATGCACAAAATCAGCAAAGAATGATGTGTATTTGTATCCATCCCCCCTATATCTAACTTAAAAAATGCTTTCAGTTGTGAACTAAGTAGAAAAAGAACAAACAAACAAAGTCCAACTGCTCTGACGTCCAATGCTTTATTAGAGCTAATTAGATAAACACCATAGGCAGGTAGGGGAGATTAAAGCAATGTTAGGTCATAGAGAGCGATATCCAAAGCTATGAACATCTCGCAGAGCTCCGTTCAAGACATCAACTGCAGTCCTACCAAAGCACCATCACCTTATCTGACAGGTGGAGGAGGAGAGAGCGAAAAGGTTATCTTATTTTAAGACCAATACATTTATTGATCTTATTTTAGGGGCAAATATAATGATTCTTTTGGCTAATAGTTTTACCTCCATGCTCAAACGATGCGTAAATACATTCATTTCAAGAACATTTAATCTGTTTTAGATATTTTTTGCACTGTAGAGATCTATGGTACCACTGGAGGAGCTGCTGATATCTAAATGTCTGAACATTTTTTGACATAACAGCCCCAAAACAGCGGTGAGAGGAGAAGCACTGTTGACCCACTTTACCAATTTGCTCTGACTGGATGAGATTATAACACCTTAAAACACAGTTTCCTCCAAGAAACACGGTGGTGGCAGCAGATTAGAACTGATTATTGAAATAATCATCAAATCATTTGGTAATTCAAATTGAATCAAGAGTAACAGCACAGATGCTAAAAAGTACAAACCTCTACAAATGTAAACTATAAACATTTAACAACATTGAATATATAACATTTTGCATTAAAGATCAATGTGTTACTTTGTTCAAATTTTTTTTCTTATACCTTTATTTTTACAGACAAGTCATTAAGAACAAGTTGTTATTTACAATGGCAGCCTGACATTGTAGTAACCACTTAGGAAAAGGGAAGTAGGGCTAAAATAAATACAATACATTAGAAATACATACATAAAATACAAACACAGTTGTAATATTTCTATAATTAAATGCAAATTAATGCATATTTCCAAAGCACCTAAAATATTTTTTTTCATGTTCCAAAAATGTGTTTATTTAGAAATGTTTTTTCAACAGTTAATTAACAAAATAATCCATACTTGCAGCCCTATTTTAGATCAAAGCTTATTGATAACTAATTGATCATCTACAGGACTGGGTGGGTAGAGACTTACCCCTAAAGACTTGAAGTTATGAAAGGAATTAAGGAGAATAGATGCAAATACACCTTTATTGTGCACTAGTGCTGCTTCAGCGCTTACAAACAGGATCAAGATGAATGAATATTTTGAAGGTGGCTTGTAGTAGTAACATTACTATCTGAGCACATCAGCAAAGCATTCGAGGTATTTTGATGGGTGTGTGCCGCTCAGAGGGACTCACTGGTGCTTACTTTTGTCATTTTGCACATCTTTGATGTTGCTGCTATTTTCAAATATCCATTCATGTAAAGATGTCCATAGCTTTATATTGTTATTTATTCTCCAGGGGCACAGTATTTATATTTTATTGTTTATTTTTTAACTCTTCACTATTATGTTATTGCTAAGGTCCATATTTGTGTGACCATTTTTTTCTACAATCTTTTTGCTGCTGTAAACACCAGAATTTCCCCATTGTGGGACGATAAAGGGATTTTTTATTAAATTCTATTCTATTACTGCTCGGCAGGTAAAGAAATGACGGTGGACAATACTCCTCCTCCAGAACCAAGGGCCAGAGCTGATTTTATCAAATGTAAGAAACTCCTTTTTTTTTCTGCAACAAGAGTCGCCACCTATCTGATCTCAATGACAAACCTGTTTTGATTCTGGTTGTTCAGATTTCTGCCAGCTGAAGCTGGATCCCATCACCGCCTACAAAGAGCTCTACATCTCAGAGGGCAGCAGGAAGGTCATCCGCACCAGAGACCTGCAGCCCTACAGCGACAACCCGGAGAGGTTCGACAGCTTCGCCCAAGTGCTGTGCCGGGAGGCCCTGTCTGGAGGCCGTTTCTACTGGGAGATCGAGTGGAACGGGGAATTCTCCATCGGGGTGGCCTACAAAAGCATCAGCCGGAAGGGGAAAGGCTCGCTGTGCCTGCTGGGCTACAACGACAAATCCTGGAGCCTCCTCTGCTCTGACACGGGATACTCCGCCTGGCACAACCGGGTGGACAAACCCGTCAGCGGGCCTCACTCGTCCAGGATAGGCGTGTACCTGGACCACACGGCGGGCGTGCTGGCGTTTTACAGCATAGGCAGCTCCATGACGCTCCTGCACAAGTTTCACACCACGTTTGTGGAGCCCGTCTACCCGGGCTTCGGGGTCGGAACGTCTGTGAAAATCTGCAACGTCAAGTGAACATTTCTATCTTCACCTGGAGATATTCAGAAATGTTTCTTTTATCTTAAAACATACAGCATTAACGTGTAAATTTTGCTGAAATGAACAACATTATCAAACCACACTAATAGTTTAATTATGTTTAAAGGAGAATTTGTTTTTTGTTTTTTAAACTCAACTCATGCCATTCTGTATTCGATTTTGCACTGCAGTAAATCCCAGCTTCCAGAAGCTGTATTGTAATGAACAATCAACACGTGGAGCAGCTGATATCTCCTTTATAATTTTACAATGTGTCGGAGTGGAGTGAATGTAACCATCAAAGTGACATTTATTACACTCAGTCCACAAATTGTGTTTCTTCCTCACATCTATTACACATAATTTACACTTTATTCAGCTTAAACTATTTAATCAAAACCAGCATAAGCGCTTTCACATTTTCTAATTTTGTTATGATTTATTTTTGTAATAAAAAGCTCCAGAGCAGTTGTTACGATCATTCACTATTTGAATATGAATGAGCTTTACAGGGAGGGTTGTTTTGGTTTGATGCTTTCAGTTCATTCTGAAGAATGCTTCATCATCATTTCATTTTTGTTTGCAGTTATTTGATAGCTGTTGCATCAGCTGAGAGCTCTGAACGTTTTTCACTTGAACTAACTCTTATTTAATTATATGTATGTTTTGCAATAATTATGTAATTCAAATAATGAAAACTTTTTGTAAAAAAAGATATAGAATAAAGAATAAATACACAATTTGGTTTGTTTTGTGATGCCAGAATGCTTTATACAGGGCTAGAAATGTAAAAATCAAGTTACATTTAATGTAAATATATCTTTAAAAATTATCTTGTGCCTGGTTAAAAATGTAAAATGTTGCGCATTTATTTAAAAGTTGAAATTTTGTTTTTTTCCTTGTGTGGGTAAAACAGTAGCACCTAAAACAGTGTTTGATCAAACTGAATCATGAAGGCTGAATCATGAAGGCTTCCTTTGAGCTCCCCCTGCTGGCGAACAGGAGCAAGTGCACCACAATAGTTGGTATGCAATAAATAAATTAGCATTTGCAGCAATTTATTAATTTGATGTCACTTCATCAAATTAATATTAGGGTGGGTGGAAAGACTTAGAAATATGCATTAATTTGCATTTAATTATACAATTGTGTTTGTATTTTATGTATGTCTTTCTAATCTATTGTATTTATTTTAGCCCCACTTCCCTTTTCCTAAGTGGTTACTCCACTTTTCACTGAGAGAGTGAGAGTAGCACTAATTTATCAGATTTCTACTGAAATAAAATGTAGCTTTTAAAGAAATTACTCAGGTAAAAGACTACTTGCTAAAAAGCTACAGAGTAACTGATATACCTACTAGTTATGATCACAAAAAACTAAAAGTAAAAAAACTAATAAGTAATTAGACAGTAAAACATTTAGGTGTAATGGACACTATTCCAAATAAGCTGATAGTTACATTATGTAAAATAGGTGTTAACTGTATTTTTACTTAAACCCCAAATGACACAGCAGACTCAGCAAATGGAAAATAAAATCTAATCAATAAGCCTCGAGTACAAAAATAAAAGAAATGTCTTTCAAAGCAAATTCATATAAAATAATCTTGTTTTTATTAAGTTACAAAGAATGGAGTAGCCAGAAATGTTACTCATTAGGAGTGATGCTTTTTGATATTTTACTCAAAAGTAAAAAGTACAATGTTGTAACTAGGGCTGAAACAATTAATCAATTATTGAAGAAATCATCAACTAATTTAGTAATCGAATAAATGAAAGTATAGAAAACTTTAGCAGAGAAACCCACTTATAGCAGTCCTTTAACCACAATTTTAATAAAACATATATTTTGCACTAAAGATAAAAAAATGTTTCCATCATTCAAAATGCTCTATCCAAAACTCCCAATAGTTTTTGGATCACATGGTTTGAATTTGAAAAAAATCCCTAATCATTTGCTATTGACTATTGAAAATAATTGACTAATTAGCTAAATAATAGTCTGTTGCTGCCCTTAAATTTCTCCTAAAAGTGTTTTAAGTTACTGTATTAAACAAGTTACTGCCCACCCCCACTTTTCATTATTGACACTTAGATAACTTAAATTCGTCTTAGTTCCTGCCACCAGAAGAGTGATATATTCCAACAGTGGGATTTATCACGAAGTGAAGCAATGAGCTGTTCTTTTTTTCAGTGTTTTATGTATTAACATTCCTTCATTATTCATACAGTAAAGCTGAGGTAAAAAATTTAAATATGTGGACAAACTGGGTTTGACCAACCATTAACAGCTTCAATCCAAACATCTCTAAGGAGTAATACCTAACTTCATCATTGCCTCACTACACTACATCAAGGTTTGCTATGTGTTTAACAAACAGTGGATCCAGTCCATTTAAAACAACACACATTTTAATTTTCTGCCTTTTTCTTTTCGTTGTGTTGTGTTCCATGACCCTGTGTGGGGCTAATACTCAACTTTAGCAATCATGGTTCTACTTTTGACACGTGCACTCTGGTTTACAAAACTCACTGAGCGTAAAGCAAGCCTAAATCAACCCTTCACAGCAGCTGACAGTTTATCTGCTGGGTTCTCCTCTAAAATATCCGTGAGCATTAGACCCAAATATTACCAACATGACATTTCTTTAAAGGCAGTTTGCCAGTAAACTTTGAAATTAACTTGGGCATAAGTCCATAAAAATCATATATTCAGAAGTCCCGAACACACCATTTACATCTGACATTTCATGCACTTTTCTTTAGCTTTCTTTGGCTACGTTCACACAGCAGGCCTTGATGCTCAATTCAGATTTTTTGCAGTCTGATTTTTTGCGTTGCTGTTCATATTTTGTCCACCATTGTTTTTCTCTGCCACTTCTGCATTGCAAGAAGAAGAGTGAACACTGTTGGGTATTAATGACAGAGGTCGGATGAATGCACAGGTTGCATTTTGAAAAGATCAGATTCGTATCGGATTCAGGACCAGAGAGCCAAGTGGCCTGGGTCACACTGGAAAAGAAAAGAAGGAAGAGAAAAAAAAAAAAAATCGGATCTTTGTTGCTCAGACTGTCACAAAAAGATCAGATCCAGGTCACTATGGGTTATAAAAAAAAAAAAAAAAAATCAGATTTGGGTCACTTCAGGCTGTAGTGTGAACATAGCCTTTAGTTTAGATGAACCAATTAGCCTGCAGGAAACATCTAAGCATTTCTATAACACATAAGGTAAAAAGTCAGACTCAAACAATAGATATTTGTTTATTGGTTCCCAACATCTTACAGGAGGTAGAGCATAGAACGCTCAACAACAAAAAAACGCCAGTCCAAATAAATCAGACATTGTAGCCAATAAGGCTGCCTTTGCCGATGCACTCTCCGATGTAGAACCACATCAGGACTTCAGTGGCCACCAGCCCGTTCCTCAGAGCATCCTGAAACAAAAACATTCAATGAGCAACACAGCCATCATGGTTTTAGGAAGGGTTTGACTTGGCATCAAGAATTAAACAAAAAAAGAAACTCCAGAGCGCTTTTTTTTTAAAACTCACCCTTTCTTGGGAACATTGTCACTTATTAACCTTTTTACATCTACAGCTTTGTAACTGTCTCAATATTGCGATGGTTTTCATTTTCGGTTCACACAACTTTAATTTAGCTGCTTTCCCACTGAAAACCCGGGTTCTTCAAAACTGGGTTAACCTGCTAACAATCGGCTTTTGACTCTTTTCCCTTTGGATCAAAAAGCCGAGTCTGACACCCTGCTGGAAAGCTGCGTGGCCGCTGTCCCCCACTGCTGGGTGTCTGATGACAGTGTTCGGTCAGATCAGCATACCCTTTCAATACATGTTTATCCCTTTAGTTTTGTATGAAAAATACACTTTAAACTACCTCAAGGGTCGTGTATTCCTTTATTCATTTACAAAAGAAAATAATGAATTACTTTTTGGTGATTTTTGATTTTTATGGTGATCTGACCCTAATTTGTTTTGTTTTTTGTACATGACTAAAGGGATACACGCCTGTCGAGGTTGTTTAAAGTATCTTTTCTGCAAAACTAAAGAGATAAAGGGGACTAGCATACACACATGGAAATCGGACGTTTTGCGCATGAGTATTGACGATGGGTATGCTGTTCTGACAGAACACCGGCATCAAGCTGGACGAGAATTGACCAGGGAAGTAAATAATGGAGAACAACATGAACGGGGGCCAGAATGTAAGTCAGTGTCCTTTATTGTTTCGCTCTATTATCTGTCCGAACCCCTCTCACCAGAGCTGCTCCATGTTGTTTCAGCTTGTTAGATCAGAAGCGACTGGGGCAGTGCGGTGGAGTCTGTACGCTGCGTTCAATGCTATCAAGTAAATTAGCGGGTCTGGCATGCCGATCAGAGCCGAGGAGATTTTAACTGTGTTCGCGTGTCGAGTGGTTTGACCAGGGGAGACCCAAACTAACTGCTTAATCAAAGGTGGTAAAAATATAATCTCAACCTCCAGCTGCAAAGGTTTTGCTGTATTGATCAGAGATGGGACAATGATAATTAACCAGCTGTGATCCATGACCAACCAGCCCTAAACTAAATATCTATTCATTTCTCAACATGGGGAGGCATCACACTGATAAGATGACAGCCTGTGCTCAAGTTTAGAATCATTTCTGAGTCGAGTCCACCGCCTGTTTTTTTCCCTATTTTTATTTATTTATTCTACATATTTATTTATTTTATGTAATTATTTATGTATTTATTTTATGTAATTATTTATGTATTTATTTTATGTAATTATTTATGTATTTATTTTATGTAATTATTTATGTATTTATTTTATTTATGTTTTTAAAGACAGAAACTGATTCAAAAATGTGTTTCTTTAGACTTGTACTTGCAATTAACAAGTGGCTGGGAGAATTACAGTTGTTCTGTTTCAGGATCACAAAGAAATCAACTGTCTTTTTAAAAATGCTGGATTTGGATATTTTGCATTTTTTCTGTGAAAATACCACTTTTGATCCACTCTATAAAGCAGGGGTGCCCAACCAGTCGATTATGATCTACCATTCAATCACAAGAAGTTTTACAATGTAGACCTATTTATGGCTATGACAAAAAAAAATGTTTCAAAAAACACTAATCAAATCATTGATCACAAGAGGCCAACGTCTATTTTCATAATAATAAAATGAAAAGTAAAAAGTATGCAGGGAACCTTTTTATATGCATGGTGATTGCTGGGCATGGTTTGCCACGGTTGCTAGGTTACCAGGGACTCTAAAGCGTGAAGAGGAATCTGGAGAGATAATGACATCTATCACAACTGATGGGGCTCCATCTATGGTTGGGCACACTGCTGGATTGGTTGCTCTGTTTAAGCTGTCTGAAACTTTCCCGGATTTTTGGATCGACCACTGCATCATTCAGCAACAGCTGTGCGGCATTATTTTAAATATGAAGCATGTCATGGACGTTGCGATAAAGATCGCTTGCTCTGTTCGGGCCGGGAGTTTTCAGAGGCGTTTATTCCGTGTCCAGCTCAAGGAGGCAGGTGCAGACCACAGTGATCTGCTGCTGCACACCGAGGTCAGGTCGCTGAGCCTTGGCAGATTCTTCAAAAGATTTTTGGAACTGTGTTGTTCTTCGATTCTACATAGAACAGACGAGGCGTGTAAACTTGGTCTGTATATTTATTTCCAAACTTCCACAGAACCTTTCAGTAGCAATGTACATTCAGAACTGCCCTCTCGCTCTAGCCTCCATTGCATGCTTGGTATTGGAGTTCAAGAGCTTTCCGGCTCATAACATCACAGGAACTTTTGCCCGAAATTAAAGAAACAGTCAACAACCCTTTCTGCTGTATTTTACTCTTCACATCCACATAGTTTGTACTTAGTGTTTTCCTATTTTTTTCCTGTTGAATTTTAATCCATCTGCCAGTTTCTCTACCAATGCCAATGCCCAGTGAAGTTTATCATTCTGAAATAGTGGACTTCCCTTCTCCTTCTTCCTGCTTTGAACTTATCTTAGACTTAGACAGATTTTATTTGTCACTTTGTTTACACAAGTGTAAAACAAAAAGAAATGTAGTTTGTAACAGCTCTCTGGACAATTTCATCTTTTTTTAAAGCACAGCCTTGGAAACTAGTAAAAATAAAAAAAAATATGTATAATATATATATATATATATATATATATATATATATATATATATATATATATATATGACTGTAAATTTACAGTTCTAACGTTTTTTAGTTTTCTCTCTACTGGACTGTGTGTGTGTGTGTATCAATTGGTGTATTTAGATTTTTTTTTTAACTGCACAGCCTTTGTCTGGAGATCTTGACTGCTCTTTTCTATAGTTTTGGTGAGTGAGTGAGTGAGTGAGTGATATGGTGTGAAGTTCTTATGAGATTGTTAAGTTCTGTTCTTGCTACCTATTTTTTGACACAATTGATCATTTCCCCATTTGTTGGACTTACTGTTTATTCTCCACCTGTGCAAATAGAAAACAAATACTGCCATCCCTTGTGTTTGGCTTGGTAGATCTTGGCATGCCATCAACTTCAAAAGTAGATCTTGGTTTAAAAAAGGTTGGGCACCCCTGCTATAAAGCATCGACCTCAGCGCCATTTCTAACATTTTTTTTTTTTTTTTTTTTTTACCTTTTTTGGAATAACTATGACCTGGATGACTGAGAATCTTCACCAGCAACATACCACTTAACTGCCAAAACAATAATTTATCCCAGCACCAATGGAAGTATTCGTAACTACTTTATTTTTTTGTTTTTGTTTATTTGGATCTCTAAATTACCCCTGAATTTCTCCTCAGAGTTACACATGGTCTTTCAGTCCATTTGACAGCTATTTTACTGTTACCCCTGGTTCCAGAAGGTGCTGTGTGGCTGCAGGTTTTCTTTCCAACCAATCAAAAGCACACCAGACTCCAGTCTCATCAAATGAGTCCAATCTGAACACGATGACTCGAGGAGATGAATGGACTATGGTTTTCTATTGCTTGGTTGGAAAGAAAACCTGCCGCCACACGGCCTTTTCTGGAACCACTTTGACACCCCTGATCTTAGGGGAACTAAATGAGTTTGCTGTTGTGTTTGTCACACACCTTCACAGTGGTCTGACCGAGGCGGCCCGTCTGGAAAGCCTTGATGAGGTTTGAGGCCCCCTCGATGGCTTTGGGGATCTCAGCTGGGGTTGGAGGAACCAGCTCAACGCGAGCATAATACCAGAAGGTAGAAAGCCGAGGTTTGGAGTAGGTGACAGCGGCTGTAGAGAGATGCAAATATAGTCAATGTCGCCAAAAAATATTTAATTGAATTACTTCATTCAAATCTACAGTTAAAAAGAAACGAAAAACTGCAAATAAGAAAGCTGAATCCACGCTGCTACACATCCTTAGTCTATTTATGATGGACCCTGAAACAAAGGACTAATAGGGTGGATAAACTATTACACATTTATAAAATTATATTTTACTAAGCTTTCTGTTGCATGTTAGTTTTTTGTTGATATGATTTTATGTTCTGTAGTTTTCCAAGGTGATAAATAAAGTTATGCAAAAAAAAATGGTGAACTACAAAGTTGCTAGCTAAGCTAGCATTAGCGGCTCGGCTAGGAGTTTTCTATTTAACACGTTTAACAACTGAATTTATCATACGGGTAAATATGAGCTCACCAGCTTAAAACAACAATATTAACTTCGAATAAGAACGTTAAATATAGCCACATTTGTGTAGCATCGGCTTAATTCATCTGAAGGCTAGGCTAACCTAGCGTCATCCTCATCGATCTACTTAAGGGTTGCTAACGGGAATTGGACAAATTATACCATTCTGCGTTAATCGAAAACAAAATTCAGATAAATGACAGACCTCCAATGAGAGATGGTACTTTAGAAACCAGTTTCTGCACAGCCTGTGCCATTATTGAGCTTCAAACTATCCCAGGTTTCTGCTAGCCCACTGAATGTCACCTCCAGCTGAAGGACCTCTAACTCCAGCTGACCGCGCTAGTGCCTGTGCAGAAATCACTGGATCTCACTGCTGCCATCTTGTAGGCATGAATAAATCTTACAGCGCCCAGTCTCAGTTTGTCATAGGTTTGCTTGTTTTGTTTTTTCAAAAACATAAAGAACAGTTTCCTTGCAGATCGTGAAAATTATTCAATGCTATGTTTATTTTTGTTCATAAAGTCAGTGATAGTTTATTTAATGGCGTATTTTACACATAAAAAACAGCTTCACATTCCAATTTAATTTTAAAAGCACGTCAAAAAAGATAAACATTAAATACAAATCTTATTGGACTAAGAATGGCTATAGATTTTGTTTTATTTTTTAACAATCCATGTAGTTCAAACTTTAGAGGTAGGTATGGTTTGCCTTCTGATGTTTGTTGCCTCAGCTTATTCTTACTAGAAGAAAAATAAATCTTCATGAACTAAGAACAGGAAGTTGTGCAAAAAAAAAACAATAAAAGCAGGAAGCTCAGGCCTGTTTTTCTCATCCCAATGGAGAACATTCACTGGATTTTTTTAATGCCTATATTGTGTAATTTCCTTACTGAGCACAGGGCTTTTAACAGAGTGGGAGTTATTAACATGCAGGAGAGCAGCCCCTTAACCAATCAACTGAAATTTGATAATGTTTGTAGCTACATCCCTTTACACAGCCTGTGAAGAAAGTGCTACTTACTCTACTTCTTACTCTACTTCCACTTACTCTGATTCTAATGGATATTGAAATCCATGCATTTGGAAAAGACTTATCATTAAACATTTTTGATTTTTCCACATTGTCTTGTCCTGGTTTTACCAGCAACAGGGGATTTCTGCTCTACAAAACAAGTATTTGGAGATGGCAATAAGGTCTCATCAGTGTAAACAGGAATGTATAGTTTTATGACCTTCAGCCATTAATCACAATTTGTTATTGTGATAACAATTTAAACTTAAGACAAAACAAGCTAATAAATAGAAATATATTGTATACCAAACCCAACAAACAAACTTAAGTATTTGTTTCTTTTTTTTTTGTCCCTTTTCTGTGGAGTTAACCCCACTGACTAATTGGCCTGCTGCTGTGGTAAGTAAGCTCTGTATTGGTAGCAACAAAAGGAAAAACAAGCTGTTGAATTGGTGTTACCCCCTAAAACTCACTGATAAAGTACAAAAATTTGAATCTTTGGAAACAAAAATAATTTTTTATTGTAATTTTTACATAGTTTTACAATTGGGATATCAGTTGCTATATCAGTTTCATATCATACATTTTATCAGGCGAAATAAACTTGAAGATATTTATATTTTGAAAATCGCATCAGAAATATGCATTGATCTTACCACCACCTTATCATTTTCTACAGTTTCAGAAAACAAAACATTTTCACATATTTTCTCACTCATAGAATTGTTTTTATGACATTGGTGACTATTTGAGCATCTTTTGCCTCAGAAAGACAGCAACACAATTCTTCAGCCAAAATAAACTTCAATAAACTGTTTTAGTAGATCCAATATCACCTTAAACTATAACACTGAAAAGAAATGCTGTACTTTCATTCAATTAATTAATTGAACTTTATTGATCTCACATTGGATAAATGTACCACTGCATTTAACCCATCCCCATCATGGGGCGCCCAGGGGGGCAATCAGGGATTAAGGGTCTTGCTCAGGCACCCAGAGTGGCAGTCTGTGGGGGTGGGATTCAAACTCACAACCTCAGGATTCCAAGCTCTATGCCCTAACCACTAGGGCACCACTCCTTCTAATATTCTTTATGAAATCTGATTCCTTTTTAGCTTATGTTGTTGGTTTTATTGTTTGGATCGCCTTTGAATCCCCTCCTTTAGTCAAGGTAACTGAGGGACAACAGTTGCATTAGTTATCCTCCTTTTCAGGTCTTTTCATAATATCCAGAAAGTGTGCATGGTGCTGAAAAAAGGCCTCAAAACTGTTTATCCTCATAAAATCGAAATCTCAAAATTGTCTTCATCCTGCCGAGATACAAAAGGAATGCATGGTAAGGATATAGTTAGCAATAACAGTAAATTTGTTATCAGATTTAATATTCCCTCACCTCTCTGTCCGTCACAGCAGGTTCTGATCTCTCTTTCTCGTTCTTTTTGTCAAAGCTTACTCGATCCATAAGTAATAAGGAAAGATATTTCCCTCCATTTTTCACTAAAGTATTCACATCTTCTAGATATTTCTCCTTCACGTTTTCGCCATTAACCTCCAATAGAACATCTCCCACAACCAGTCCTGCTCTCTGCCCAGAACCTCCAGAAGCCACCTACAGTGGAAAAAAAAAAGTCAACATCCCTGAACAAAAGGTGCCAGTGAAGGCATCTTACAGTTAAAATCCTATCCTGCTTGTGAGCGCATGCAGCTTTGGTGTATGTTGGTTTTGGGTCCAACCTCACTGATGAAAGTCCCAGGTCTCTGCACAAAAGAGTCGAGATGAAAGCCATATCCGAGAGGACCTCTTTCGACTCTGCAGAGCTTCGGACTCAATGAGTCGTTGTTTTTCTTTGCAGACAGCTGAACGTCAACAATGTTCTCAGGTTTTATCTCAGCTGCTTCACTGTCAGAGAACAGAAGAGGAGACAGGCCCAGCTGGGGGAAAACAACACAAAGGATGAACAGTATTATGTCATCATTAATTACAACGGGAAATCTGTTCTTGAATTCTGAGCTACAATCATGTTTTGTCCAACATTTTATTTGATTTGAAATATATTTAAAAAAAATGTAATATATATACCCTTTAGCCATTTTAAATTTTTTACATTGATTGTTTCATTGGTTGGTTGGTTAATTGAACTGTTGGTTGGTCAGTTGATTGTCAGCTTATCTTGTTAGTTGTTTGGCAGGTTGGTTCATTACTTGGTTAGTTGGTTGGTTGGTCAGTTGGTTGGTTAGTCAATTGGTTGCTTGGTCAGTCCGTTAGTTGGTTGGTTGGTCAGTCGGTCGGACAGTTGGTTGGTTGGTTGGTCGGTCGGTTGGTTGGTCGGTTGGTTCATTAGTTAGTTGGTCATCGGTTGGTTAGTTGGTTGATTGGTTAGTCGGTCGGTTGGTTAGCTGGCTGATTGGTTATTCGGTTGGTTAGTTGCCTGCTTGCTTGGTTAGTTAGTTGGTTGGTTGGTTCATTAGTTGGTCGGTCGTCGGTTAGTTAGTTGGTTGATTGGTTAGTCGGTCGGTTGGTCTGTCAGTCAGTTGGTTAGTTGTTTTGTTGGTTGGTTAATTGGTTGTTGTTCATATCATTGAATTTGGTTAGCTGGTTGCTCAGTTGGCAAGTCTCTGATTGCCAAGTCTGGTGATTGTCAGTTAATTATTTTTATTTCAGTGGTTACAGGGTTTATTTTTAGTGAGTTTATTGCTCGTTTCTTTGCTTGCATTTTTTGTAATTGGCTTGTTTAGATAGTGGCTTTGTCTGCATTCTGAGCAGCCAGTTGGCTTTTTGGGCTTTGATTGTTTGGTAAACATTAGTTAATAGGAATGAAAAGTGTAAAGTGCCTTGAGATGACATGTGTTGTGAATTTGGCGCTATATAAATAAACTGAATTGAATTGAATTGAAATAATCAGCTGTACAGTTGGGTGCACCTAACACAGGGAATGGCCCAATGTTGTACTGACATGTATCTGGACAGTGGACCTTTGCAGGACAAAAACTTATTTTACCCTCTGCCTGAAAGATAACCTAACAGGATGAAGTAGGTAAAAAAAAAACAAGGGGGATGGATCCTTAGGAAGGATTTGTTGTTGGAAATTTGCACAAAAGCTATCAAGTTGTTTCATCTGTATGGTTACGATAAATAAAATATTAGATAGCGTGATAGCTATAAGAGTAACAGTTTTTAAATCCGCACAGAGATTACCAAATTGCTAAAAGATGTTCATATGCCATATGAACATAATAATCAGGGTAAAGAAACTGGGATATTTGAAGTACATTTCCCGAAGACCAGGAGAAAAAGTTAATATGAACTTCCATGTTGTTTACAATCAAAGGGATAGGAAGTCTTATTTTTGTTGTTGAGTTTTTACAGCACTAGTGGCAGTTTTTTGGACAGTAGGTTGACAGGAAAGGGGGTCTGAGAGAGGGGTAGAGATATGTGGCAAAAGACCACAGGTCGGATTCAAACCTGGGTCGGCCGTGTCGAGGACTAAGGCCTTTCTACATGGGTTGTGTTCGCTAACCACTGCGCCACCAAAGCACGCCCCTGGAAGTCATTTTTCACTATTTGGAAATAACAAAGCTGCAAATAAACAGTGCACATGAAATACCCAAAGACCTTTTCCAACTATGTGTCACTCTTCTTTTTGGCCAGGTTAAAGGATTACAAGGAAATGCTTAAAAATAACAACAACAAAAAAAAGCCCTGTGAAGGATGAGACTAAAGTGAACCCCACCTGGTTGTAAAATCCTAACCCAGACTGAGAGATGGTGGTGAGGAAGACCTGCTTTCCACTTAATCTCACTCTTTCCACAATCTCATCGTGTCTGAGCGAGTCCACCGACTCTCCATTGACCTCCAGCAGGATCTCTCCATCCTGCACACCTGCCTTCTCTGCTGGACTGCCACTCTCCACCTCACGCAGAAAATGATCTGTTAAGATAAAAACAATCTAAACCAAAACAGGCGAAGAGGGTTGGTTTGAATCTCTTTTCCTTTTTTCTACATGTGTGGCCGGATGACGTCTTCTCCAGTCGGAGGAGAAATCCATATCCTTGTGGCCCAGAGATCAGGTGGAGCTTTCTGGCTCTGAAGGGCAGCTTGTGGGACACAGCCATGGCTGGTAAAATGGGCATCTTCTTTTTCATGTAGATCCTCTCGCTTTCACTGTCTATCACCAAGATTGTGATGCTATTTCCATATTTTTTCATCTAAAACGAAATGGAAAGTTACATTTCATTTATGTCCTGAAATGCCAAACAGTATTTGCACAGCCTTCCAGTGCAGCAGTACAAACCATTCGACTGAGGGCAGAGTGTGTGAGGTGGGACACCATTACTCCGTTCATCCAAATCAGATGATCTCCCTTGCGGACTCCTGCTTTTTCAGCCGCACCCCCTTTCACCAGGTTCACTGAAAAGCGACCTTTCTCTCCTTCAATGCAGAGACAGAGGAATCAGTCTTATATCTCTGTGCCTACCTCAACAGAACAGCTATCTAATCTTGTCTTGAACATTGGACCTGATGGGATAGGCAGGAGATGAGTTACCTTCCAAGGCTGTAAAGCTGATACCCAGACCTGAGCCAGGATGCTTGGTGATGTGGCACAGTCTGGGCGGCTTGCATGGTTCTTCAGCTACATTTCCCGACAACAGTCGAAGGTCCAGGCCCCTTTCCACAGCCTGCTCATACTCATCGCCATCCAGAACCAGCAAGCATAACTGCTGCCCGCTAAGCTTAATCTTCCTGGCAACCTGAATCCCAAATAGATCATAATAGAAATTATAATTTGCATCAAAACAAGGGTGACTTCAGGATTAAGTGATGGTACCTCAGTGTGGGGAACATCATCAACGTAAAAGTTGTTGACCTCCAGAAGTCTGTCTCCATCATGCAGGCCGCTGTGCGCCGCGATGCCCCCTGACACCACATTTCGAATCATGTGTCCATTGCAACCTTTCTCCATCCGTAGGTTGAAGCCATACGTCTGGCCCTCCTCTCTCTTGAGAGCACACAGGCGTGGCCTGGGAGTCCAGCAGGGATCTGATTAAAAACAGGAAAAGATGCTTTGATATAAAGAGTGGATCTTCTTCATGCTGTGCTGCAGTTTTAGTTAATAATACCTGAGTTATCTGTGATGACCATGGCAGGGTTATCGATTCCTTCTTTTGGATCAAACGTAAATTTCCTTTAGCAGAAAAAAGAAACATGCTTTATGCTATGTGACTATGTGAATTAAGTCTCCTAAAGTGCAATAAAGTTCAGAATTTGATTATTAAGCCCCTGTTTAAAGATGATAAGCTGTAAATATCCTACCTGCAGAGTCAGAAATATGAAGAACTTGAACTAAAGAGGAGGAACTAATGCCGGGTTTAAGAAGTAGAGAGGGATATTAAAACTGAGGTGGAACCAAGTCAGGTGGATATCTGCTATTTGATCTGGTTCTGGAACAGCTGATGAGAAAGTATTTCCCTCACTTAATTCTTTCAAAAATAAAAGAAATGCTTTGAAAATGAGCGATTTTACAACAATTCCCTGGAAAATATTTGATGCTCTATATTTTTTCTGTACCATGGGGTTTAAAAAATGACAAATGGTTAAGGCCATAGAAATATTTTCATCAGCATCTCTCTCAGTCTCAACATGGAACATGCTTTTTCAACAGAATCACATAATTCTTGTGCAAATGATCCAGAATCTAAAACTGACAATAGCAGAAATGCAGATATTACCTCTGTTTAGTAGAAATACTATACCAAGTTTAGTATTGTATCCAGATGCAGCGTTTAAGTATCAATACTTTTTTACTGTATCAGTATTTTTGACAACCCTACTACCTGTGCCATTGGTTTAAAGAGTTGAAAACAGTCTGAAGTTTTACTTTATTCACTGAATTCTAGATGCAGGCAGCCATGTTGGATTCTGCTCTGCAGAGTTTCACCTCCATCTTCAACAGTGGAAAATGCAACTTTAGCAAACATTCTTGGGTTTTCTTCAAAGGAGAACTTTAATATTCTTACTTCAAGATAAAACAGATTACACACTGGAATAATTGAGATCTAAGTAAGCCATTTTTTTTCCTAAAATCAGTGCATTAGTTCTTGAATTGAGACACTTTGCCAATGGAACACAACAATTGACATTTAAAATAAGAAAAAACAATTGCATTGTCTTATTTCAAGTGATATTACCTTATTTTTTAGAGTAAAATTCCGATTCCATTGACAAATTATTTTATCTACCTACTTAAATTAAGCTTAAATACAGTTAATTTAACAAATACAGACTTATTTACAGATCTTTTTTTTTCAGTGCACCATAGTTATCCTTAGAGTAGTCAAAACTAAAGGGTGCTTCGAGGGTAATATAACCAAACTATCCAATTTGTAAAGGTAGTTTAATGAGAAAGCGTTTTCATGAACCTTTTAAACCATTGTCATTTGTTGGTTATTTAAACCAATACTGATGTTTGTCTCCACAGGAATTAATAATTTAAGCGTCAGTTTGCCAAAGATGACCTTCCCTGTGAAATATAAGGCGAGAAGGGAACCCACATGTTTGACGCCTCCAGTCAGTTATCGTTTTAGATTTGAACTGCTTAAGCTGGCTGCACATTGAAGCAGCTCTGCTAACATTTCATTTCCCTTTAGGGTTGATAAAGTAAAACTGAATTGAATTGAATCATTCTGCTTCATTCTATCTCTATTTTCCCATTTTGCAGAATTTGGTAGTTCAATCTGTAATGTTACGCTCTCTGCTTTTTCTCATAGTAGCTTCATCTGGTCTGTTCCTGTTTGGCTGTGACTCCATCCTGGAGAGAAATATCAGCTGTGCTGCTGCCATCAACACCTTTGTTTATAGATGCTCGAGATCTGCCTGTTTTTAAGTGTAGTCCTGTTTCTCTGACTGTGACTGGCTGGATGTGCTCTCTTGGTTTACAGTTGTCTTTTGTATCTCAGCTCATTTTTCTATCTCTGCTTCTGTCTCCTTGAATCCCAGTCAGCCTTGGCAGATGGCTGCTCACACTGAGTCTGGTTAGTGTGAGGGGTTGCCTTCGAGTCAATGAGTCGATACAATCAACTGGTTTTCCTTCGATAGAAAACTTTTAATCAATCTGACTGCATGATCTGGTTGAACTGTAAAGTGCCTTGAGATGACTGTGTTGTGAATTGGTGCTAAATAAATAAACTGAATTGAATTGAATCCCCCATGGAACCATGAAATGGTGGAATGACAAACCAGTGAGACAGAATTTGCTTAAACTACTGTGAAGGTTTTAATTCCCTCTTGGTCTCTAGACATTACCTTCGCTCTTAGGGAACCAACTAATCTGGCCTTGTATAAGAAAAAGTAATTTTCATAAAAACTGCTGCAGGCAGGATGTCAGCGGCTTTCTACATCTTTCTTTTTTATATCCCACCCCCTTTTAAAGAATTGTTAATTATGAATTATTCCCTTTTTCAATTTTCAGGGTAAAATATCAATCAATGTTCAAATGAATGGCATTTTCCACTTTCCCAAATAGTTAAAATTGCATGCAGTTATACTTGCTTTTTAATTGCACAACCTGACTTTTAATTGCAGCAATTACCTCTGCACCAGAGGCCTTGTTTATATGGCCTTAACCCTGCAGTGTTTGTGCAAACCCAACCAAAACATTTCTTTAGAGACAAATACAACAACAGAGAGCAAATATTCTCCAGGTCTGTTGTCTGCTTTCTCTGATTATTGGATTCTCTGGCACAGAACTTCATTAATATAACCCAAATCAATCAACATATTTTAAACAAAGCCTGAACCACTGAAGTTTAAAATATTAAAATGAATGCAGAAAACAAGAAAGTGGACTTACTTTGTCAACATGATGACTTCCAGCACACCATAAAAAACAAAACTAAGAACACATGAGGTGAAATACTTTGACTGCATAAAACTTACTTTATAAAAGTCTTATCTGCACATCTCCTGATGAGAGGATAATGACATTTACATAATATAGATACCTGTGTTTTCGACACTGCTCACATGCTCATTACCTATCAGCCATGAAAAGATATGCTTTTATAACTGGATCTTATGGCTCTGGTTGTGTCTGCCTGATAGTAAAAGCTCATTTTTTACAGTATGGGTCGTATCTGAGCCTCCACCAACATATCTGCTGACTTTTACTAACAAGGGAAACACCATAAAACTAGGTTAGACTTTGTTTTGTCATCTTGGGTCTTTTTCTGCCTCTAGAAAGATGGAAAAATGGCAAAACATTAGAGAACTGGTGTCCTAAAACATGTCTCTATTCAGATCAGAGTGACGTTGTTCTGATGAGGTTAAGCAAAACAACAGATTCAGGTTTTTGAGTTCAGAAACACACAGCATCGCCTCACACCATGTGTGTGCAGGACAGTTGCTGCTAAGCACTGAGCAAGGTCCTTTTATTGTGGAAAAGAACTGCAGGTCATACAGTGCCCTGAAAAGTTGTTTTTTTTCTTTTTTTTTTTCACAATTTCAGTGTTAACAGGAATATAGAATATAACTTTGCATAAATTTCATCCAGTTTGAGTTCAGTTTAAAGGTAATTTTAGAATTAGTTTTTTGTCTTTTAAAGGGTTGTGAGATGTAAGAGATTATTGTAATATTATCTCTGGCTCGTCTTTCATGTGATTATAATGAGATCGAAGGAGCCTCCTATTCATTCTGACAGCAGCTGACTGAACTGTGGTCTGATCCAAGATGGCCTCCCTCAAGGCACCTCGGCCAGCGTCCAATGAGGCGTCTACGTATATAATGTCTATGTGTACATGACCAGCTGTTGCGTAACTTTGTGAGGCAGATCAACAAATAAAAACCCACAAAGCAGGGCATACATCTGACAGAGGCCATCTCTCAAAGTCTATTTTCAAACGTTGCAACAAACTAATAACTGGATTTTTGTCTGAACTTTGACTAGGCCATTTTGAAATAGATATATACTTAAATCTTAAGTGTTCATTGAGGCTCCTGGTGTGTTTTGGTTTGTTATCCTGCTGGAAGATCATTTTCCATCATTCTGACCAGCATATCCTTCCTCTCTGAAGAAAGACATCCCCACAGCTGCTAACGCCATCCTTTATGGTGAGGATGATTCTGTCCATTGTTCGTTTTCTATCAGACATTAAGTTCTGCATGTTGGCCAGCAGGTTTGTATTAGTGTCAAATGAATGGGGCATCTTTAATCCGTCATTGGTAACTCAAAATTGTCCTTAGGTGTGAGTCTGTGTGTGCATGAATTGTATGTCTCTGCATTGCCCTGCGAAAGACTGGCGACCTGTCCAGGGTGACCCCGCCCCTTCCCTTTAGACTGCCGCAGATAGGTCCCCACCGGGACTCTAACAGAATAATAAGGAAAAGATGGATTGAACTGAATTGCATTTTTTTGTCACTTTAATGTGTAATGTAAATCCCTTTATTTTGCCAAAATAGAGGAAATTCACTTTCTGCATTTAACCCATCCCCTTGGGGAGCAGTGGGCTGCCATTGAGTGCCACCCGGGGAGAAGAGAGGGGTTAAGGGCTTTGCTCAGGAGCCCAGAGTGCAGGCTGTGGGGATTGAACCAGGTACTGGCAACCTTCTCAGAGTACAGGCACACTGCTCTAACCAGCAGGCCAACACCCGTGGGTTTTGATCTCACACTGGAGAAATTTACCTCTGCATTTAACCCATCCTGTCTGGGAGAATTGGGCTGCCATTGTGCGGCGCCTGGGGAGCAGTGTGAGGTTAAGGGTTGTGCTCAGGCTTTGGGGATCCAACCAGGTACTTGCAACCTTCTCAGAGCACACGCGCACACCTCTAACCCACTAGGCCAACACTCCCCTCAACAAAATCTTTTCCAAATTTGCCCAAAATCAATACATAGTTGTATTTAAAATTCCAACTGAGCTGTCGCTTTCCGCAGCTCCCCCAGAGCTACCATGGACTTCTTGATTGGTTTCTGTGATTGATGCTCGTTTTTTGCAGCTGTGCTGTACTCTTTCCATTTTCAGATAAAGGATTTAATAACGCTTGTTTTACAAACTAAATCTCCTCCATATTCTTCATAAGCTCAGAGTCTTTCACAGAACATTTGGATGAAATATCTTCCTTTTACTTCCTTTGTAAGAACTTGATTGTGGTAGATTTTATTTAAGGGGCATCCAAATAAACAGGGTTATTACAAACATCTATCTCACCCATCCCCAAGTCTACTGTGGGGTTGTTTGTCACATCAAATCCCAGTAAAAACATACAAACGTGTTGCTTGTTTT